ACTACAACGAGCGCGCTCGCCTTGGGAAATGGCTGCAGAACGAGGACCTCACCCTGAACCCCCGTTCGCGTCGCGACACATACTGTGATGTGCGATCCGTGGCAGAGATCCTCAAGAAGTGGCATCCTTCCATAGAGCTGCGCTGCTATACTGTAGCCAGCAGCTTCACGCGTCGGCTGCAGAACTGGCAGGTGTTCTCGTTCCGCGAACTGAAGAAACTGGGCCTCCGACTAAAGACGGAGGATCTGAAATAGCTGGCCGAAGGCAGGCCAGGAGCAGTCGACTGGCTGCTGTTCAGCCTCATTGGCAAGAATCGATCGACCGATTGTTTGTACTTTTCTTTTCTAATTTTGGAGCGAAAGAAGCAACGAAACTTTAAACTGGTAATGTATAGTTATTTGTATTGTATTTACTTATCTTATGTACACGTATTTACGTATCGTATGTACATATACACATAATACATATATACGTATATATAAATACGATACGCCGCTTGTTTTTCTGCAGTGTACGGAATACGTATACATAATACATAGCATATGCATACATTTACTGCGTTTATGTCTACTCTACTTATACATTTTTTTTTTATTTTTTTTTTAGATAACAACAATGGATAACAACAGGAACAACAAGAAAGGACAAGGCGCCATAGGCAAGAGGGATTGGCAGGAGGGCATTTTTGCTGAATATGCCCGCGTATATGACCACAAGCATGGAGCTGTCACGGGCGCACTCCTTGCAACAAGAATTGCTGCTGGCAATGTTGCCTGGCGGTGGACGCGGACGGGGAGGACGACATGCACCGTACGTCGTCCCTGTGCCGCCTGCCGTAGGACCTAATGGCGCAGAAGCTGAAGTTGAAGCTGAAGCTCATCGGCTGCTGAACTGGCAGGTGTTCTCGTTCCGCGAACTGAAGAAACTGGGCCTCCGACTAAAGACGGAGGATCTGAAATAGCTGGCCGAAGGCAGGCCAGGAGCAGTCGACTGGCTGCTGTTCAGCCTCATTGGCAAGAATCGATCGACCGATTGTTTGTACTTTTCTTTTCTAATTTTGGAGCGAAAGAAGCAACGAAACTTTAAACTGGTAATGTATAGTTATTTGTATTGTATTTACTTATCTTATGTACACGTATTTACGTATCGTATGTACATATACACATAATACATATATACGTATATATAAATACGATACGCCGCTTGTTTTTCTGCAGTGTACGGAATACGTATACATAATACATAGCATATGCATACATTTACTGCGTTTATGTCTACTCTACTTATACATTTTTTTTTTATTTTTTTTTTAGATAACAACAATGGATAACAACAGGAACAACAAGAAAGGACAAGGCGCCATAGGCAAGAGGGATTGGCAGGAGGGCATTTTTGCTGAATATGCCCGCGTATATGACCACAAGCATGGAGCTGTCACGGGCGCACTCCTTGCAACAAGAATTGCTGCTGGCAATGTTGCCTGGCGGTGGACGCGGACGGGGAGGACGACATGCACCGTACGTCGTCCCTGTGCCGCCTGCCGTAGGACCTAATGGCGCAGAAGCTGAAGTTGAAGCTGAAGCTCATCGGCTGCTGAACTGACAGGTGTTCTCGTTCCGCGAACTGAAGAAACTCGGCCTCCGACTGAAGACGGAGGATCTGAAACAGCTGGCCGAAGGCAGGCCAGGAGCAGTAGACTGGCTGCTGTTCAGCCTCATTGGCAAGAATCGATCGACCGATTGTTTGTACTTTTCTTTTCTAATTTTGGAGCGAAAGTTTGGTTGGCGATGGTTTGTCTGTGTGACAGAAAGTTTCGGAAGTATTTGTGCTGTGAACTAGAGTTGGGTTGCTCATGAGTGAGTGAACAAAAATGAGCTGTTCACTTCACTGAGTGAACTGAACATGCTCACTCAATTTTTGTTCAGTTGTTCACTTGTTCAGTTGTTCACTCAGTTGTTCACTTGTTCAGTTGCTCACTCAGTTGTTCACTTGTTCAGTTGTTCACTCACTTGTTCAGTTGTTCCCTGTTGACTCACTTGTTCAGTTGTTCCCTGTTCAAGATTACTCTGCGATACACAAGACAAAATTACTTTTAGCCATATGACATTAGACTTAGACAATTTTGCTGCGTAGAGAGGGATTCTTACTTTTATGTATTGTTATTCGATATTCTTTAATATTTGGGTGGGGGGTTTTGCTAAACATACTTATTCATACATATGTACATCTATTTGTATGTATTTCGAATGAACCACAAAAATAAACTGGGGAAAATTAACAAATGTTTGAAAAACAAAGCATTGAACTGAGTGAACCACTGAACAGGGAACAACTGAACAAGTGAACAACTGAGTGAACAACTGAACAAGTGAACAACTGAGTGAACAACTGAACAAGTGAACAACTGAGTGAGCAAGTGAACAACTGAGTGAACAAATGAGCAACTGAGCAAAGTGAGCGAGTTGTTCACTCACTTAAAAGTGAGCAACTGAACTTGTTCAGTAAAGTGAACACTCTTTACCCAACTCTACTGTGAACAATGAGCAGTTGATTGCTCAAAAATGTATTTTAAATGACGGCTCGCTTCGACTGCACTCCCCTTTTTATAAGAAATTGGCAGCGCCGCCATTTGCAAAAACGCGCAGCAGTGCTGTCATTTTAGCTTTTTTCAGGCTTGACTTTTATAAAGTGACATTTTTAAAAGTGGATTAGCTTGTAAAATTTGCAAATAGCTTTTATAAGCTGTTAAGCATTTTTAAAACAATTTTTTTAGATTTAAATGTAAATAAGGTCTCTTCAGGATTTTATCGTTGCGTAGAAGCAAAGACTATGCAATACAAAGATGTTGCACGAGGAGCAAATGCTCGTTCAATTTTCGTTTGACGTTTCATGGTACGGGCTCGCGGGGCATTTCTTCCATTCTCTCTTAGGCTAGCCTTTGCCTCTGCTCTCGGCAATGCCTCGACCCGCGTCGAGTCGAGCGACAGAATACACCAACACAATATGAAGGGCCGGACAAGCAGTTGCCTAGGGCCCCCCTAGGGCTAGCAGAAAAATTTGTTGAAAAAACAAAACTCCAAATAATGAGTAAAAAAATATAATAGCCACTCGACTCGACGCGGGTTGAGGCATTGACGAAGCGGTTCATAAAATATTTTTTCGTTTTGTTTTGAAAAGCTGATGTTGCGACGGGCGCGCGGTTCTCTTTTAGGCTAGCCTTTGCCTCTGCTTTCGGCTTCGTCAACAGAAAGCGACAGAACACACCAAGAAAATATGAAGTCTTACGACTGGAATAGGTCCAGGGCCGGATTAGCAGTTGCCTAGGGCCCTCCTAGAAATAACAGAAAAATTTTGTTGAAAAACAAAACTCCAAATAATGAATAGAAAATATAATAGCCACTGAGAAAAATACAAAATAAAGGAGGGCCCCAGATTGATGGTTGTCCAGGGCCCGGTTGAGGGTTGATTCGGCCCTGAATAGGTCGCTACATCACATCAGCCCTCAAAACAAAATGAAAAACCAATTCAAGCGGCCAACAATTGTAGAGCCCACACACAAGCACAGTATGTGTGAATACATGGCACACACACGTTTACGTAAACTGAAATCTCGAACAAAGTCGGTTTCGGCAGCTAAAAATTATTCTATGCATACAATCATATATTTTGGAGTGTACACGTACACCACACATGCATGCTTGCTGCCAGTCGGCTCGTGTGACGTCATGAGCCCAACGCGGCCATTCCCAAAGCCAAAGATCTGGGAACGTACGCTGCAAACTCAGCTGCGCCCCTTTCGTTGTATGAACTGGCACATCTATATACTGTATGGTTAGTGATTGTGTGTATTGACAGTAGGGACTCAGCCGAAAAGAGGTGGAAAAATTAAAAAATATTTTATGAACGCTTTGAATAAAATAAATGTACACATCAAGTAGAAAATTTTCCAGAGCTTTAGCGAATCTAATTTGCAAGATCATTTTAGTTTAGGAGATATGAGCAGAGATAACATAATTTATTTTTATATATTGTATTTATTTTCCACCCCCACCCACTCTGCCCATTCCTCATTTATGTTGCGGCAGGTCAGCTCAGGTCGCTACATCAGCCCTCAAAACAAAACGAAAAACCAATTCAAGCGGCAAAAAATTGTACGTACGTTGCAAACTCAGCTGCGCCCCTTTCGTTGTATGAACTGGCACATCTACATATATACTGTATGGTTAGTGGCTACATCCTCCTCTTTACTTACAAAACAAAAATGACCACCGACATCTTTCCCCTGTAATGCGTAAAATATGTTAAAGTTACATAAACTTCGTGGAAATATGAAATACGCCCCTGGTCGAAAATGGGATAACGTTCTATTTTATTGATTGAAGTCGTATTCCATAATTCCGATATTCAGTTTAATATTACTAGCTAGTTGGCCCTCTCAGCCCAAAAAAAAAACAATTTTAACCGATACATACATCAATTTTCTACAAGATTGGCCATTTTTCAGAACTTTTTTTCATTGGATTGTTTACATAATAAAGTTCAAGGAATCACACCACGAAAAAGAGGGGAATTCACCACGAATTAATTATGTTAATTTTCTGCGCACCATAACAGCTGTTCGCGATAATAGTATCGATATAAATATCGCATTTGAAACGAGTCCGCGGGATGTGCATTATTAAAATCGTGCGTTGGTGCTATAAATTCTATATATGTATCACGATTTATACAAGAATATTAAAGTGGTGTGTAGTCTGTAAATACTTTAAAGGTATAATTTCTAGCCAAGGAAAGTAATTTGAGAGAGCCAGATTAGAACATTTTAGCTGTGCATGACCAACCCATTAAACTGATTATAAATTTATGTAACGAGCACACTGCAATCTATTTTAGTCGAAACGAATCGAAATGGGCCATGACATCCAAACGAACCCCAAACCCGAATCCCAACCGAACCCACAAAGTATCCAGGTGACAAATGGCCCTGGCATTTGTTTGCCTCATTGATTTGTATTAACAATCAAAAAATTCAATGAAAGTAAACAACGAATTTTTCACTCCCTTTTGATAGCAGTCCACAGCAGAGTTACAAACCGCTTTGAAATACCGTCAGGACCATTAAAAATAATTCTTTCACATTTACATAAAAGCCAAAGCGGGCGGCAATAACGAAAACGTTGACTTTGACCAGCGACCATTCCAAGAAGAGAACTTTGAAAGCGGTTCGACAGGCAGCGACGATCGTGTGTAAAAAGAAAGTAGGTAACTGAGGCAGAGCCAGAGACAGAGAGAGGCAGCAAACATAAACAAAGTGCGAGCCAAAGAACAGCGCAAAAGTTGTTTCCCTCTTCGCCTTCTTCTTTTGAGTCTCTCTCGGACCTTTTTCTGGAAACCTGACGTGGACAAAGCGCAGGCGTAGCAGAATTCCGCAAGAGAGAGCGCCACTGGAACTGGAACTGTCAGGTGAGAGTGGCGTGAGCAAGGTGTATCCACATGGAAGGTAAGACCTTTCCACTCTACTCGTATACCCGTACCCGCATAGGAACGCAACAGAGGCCCACCATACCTTTTCTCTAATATACCTCAAGACAGTGTGAGAGAGAGAGAGAGTGGAGAGTGCAGGTGAGAGCAGCCCCAACTAGAATCGCCCGGACTGACTGCCGATTCCAGCTTAAGAAGTGTTACAAACTGGCGCAGCGCCTCACAAGAAAGAAAGTTTTCAACTGTGCTGGCTGTCTCCTCCGATCTCGAAGCTCCAAGCTCCAATCTGCAATCTCCAGTAGCAGCAGCAGCAGAACCACCATCCAATCCAGCAGTCATCCAATTTAGCAGTCCGTGTGCGCAGTGAAGCGTCGCTCGCTTCGTCGTCGTCTTGGTTTTGGTCTCCGACTTGGCTTAATTGGCCCAAAAGTATCTCAAGTGTGTGATTGTGAAAGTTCCTGCCCGTCCAACAAAAATGTACGTGAAACGAGTGCTGCTCTTCGCGGCGCTGTTGTGCGCCCAGCCCTATGGCCAGATGGCCAGTGAGGATGAGTCCAATCCGCTTCTGGACATGGCCTCCATGTTCTTCCAGGAGGCGCTGTCCAACCAGAACGGCGGCGCCGACAGAGGAGCAGGTGGCGCTGGAGCCGGACTGGCAGGCGTCGCCTCGCTCATAGGCACATTCATGCAGGCCAATGGCAAATCCGGCGGTGGAGGAGGTGGTGGCGGTGGAGCCATGCAAATCCTGTCCGGTCTGGGCAGCCTGCTGGCCAACAATGCCCGTGGGAATGGTGGCGGCGGCGGCGGTGGCTTCGATCCGTCCATCATTGGCAATGTCCTGGAAATGTTCACCCAAGGCGATGACGACGAGTCCGGCGCCGACCAGAAGCGCAACAATGGCGGAGGATCCGAGTCGGGCATTGGACTGGACACCATTCTCCAGGTGGCCTCCGCATTCATGAACAACCAGGGAGGCGGCGACAACAAGGCACAGGCCTCCCATCACCAGCAGAAGCGTTCGGCCTCCCAGGAACCCGAGTCCGAGAACGGTCTGATGAGCCTTCTGCCCCTGGTCATGCAGGCCGTCAGCTCATTCGCCGGCCCCGAAGGTCAGAGCACTCAGGAACGTCACAAGAGCCATGCCTGGGTGCTGCCGCCCTTCCTAGAGCACATCCACGTGCTGTGGGATCACTTCTCCAATTCGGAACTGGCCGATGCCCTCTACGAGAAGTCGGGCGTCAACAAAATCATGAAGGTGGATCTCTAGATGATAAGATTTTAGTGTATTTCGAAGGAGAGGTGTTCTCAAGATCATATAAAGTAGAAATTTAAAAGATAGCTCCGACTGGTCCAGAAGAGAAGGAAACACTTTACTGAACTTGAGGAATCTCTTACAGAAGTTCCTGTATCTGTTTCTCCCTGCTAAACATTCTTCTTTCTCTTTCCTTTCCCATCCAAAACAGGGCTTCAAGGGCAGCGATGGAAAGCTGGACTACGACAAGCTCTTTGAATCGCTGAACAACCAATCCTTCCGCCGGCGCTGGATCAAGTCGGCGACGCTGTACCTGGCCGACTGGGCCAGCTATCTGGCCAATCCCGATGTCTATCTCAGGTGAGTCTACGTCTACGTGGCACTCGACTTGATTTGGGTGTGGGCTGTGGACTGGTGACTGTGGGCTGTGGGATGACCAATCCAATCCGATTCGTAGCGTGTTAATTGTGGATCACGTTCTGCTCTTTAACGGTTCCCGAATGCAGTTAGCACCTTGCTGCGATTCCACTCCGATTCTGAACAGCTGTTGTTGCTGTTACCGTTAGCCGCCGCAACCTGTTTGCCAGGGTTACCTTTTGACACACTTTTTTCCATAATACCCTCACAGAGAGGGTATTCTCGTCACTACCAGATGTTTGCCAGTTGACCAAAGAACAGGATGCCGGATGCCCTTGCACTTGATCTTTTTCTTGCTGCACACACGACATATATAAAGATTAGATCCCTAATATCAAACTGCCCCACAGGAACTAGGGCAATTATCATTTAAATCTGATGAGAACGATGCACTTGCAAGGGTATCAAGAGCTTTGGCTTCCAAAGAGCTCGAGGCTTCCTTTCTGGTTTTCGCCTTGACTTTGGCTTTTAGAACATGCCTGCTAATCCAGCTGGTCAACACAGCAATCATCCCACTCCCCACACCCAGTTCTGTGTCCAGGCTCTCGCTCTGTCTCTACCTCGGGTTCTCTCTTCGGATGCGATACAGTTACAGAAGTCAATGGCATTGTTAACGCAAACAAATAAACAAAACGGGCCAAGAACCGGTTAGCGTCGTCCGCTTAGCCAGAAAATGGGTAGAAGGCAAAGTACACTCTGTCCGCAGACATTTTTGCATGACTGCCAGCCCCACATAAGTGGGTCAAGTGGCCTCAAGACTTTAGTCTTTAGTGCTGTCTTCTCCACTTTTTCGGCTGCTTGGTGGCTACTCATTTGCTACGCCTCATCATTGTTAGACGAGCACTACTTCCACTTTCTAGCGACGACCCTTTCACTTGGCAGCGTCATCGCAGTCATCGTCAATTGTCTGATTTTTTTGCGTCTTCTTTCGCCACTTTCCACCAGATATTTCCAGACGGCGCAGATCATGTTCAACGGGGTGCTGAAGTCTCAAGGTTACCCCAAGCAGACGCACTTCGATCCGGCCCGGCCCAGTGAGACCATCTCCAACCTGCTGGACCACGTGGCCAAGCACCACCTCAGCGTGAAGATCGATTCCCGGCAGTATGTGAAGCCGGCGGTGGGCTATGCCAAGGAACTGCTCAAGCTCGGCCAGGCCCGCGGCCTGCTGCAGTTCAACGCCACGGAGATCAGCGATAAGCTAACGGATACGCTCAATCTGGAGGTGGGTCTGAGAAATCAGTGAATGAGAATTGGGTTGCTGGGCAATTAGCTTGGCTCGCTCCTAAGCTCCTCGGCACAAATTAAATTAATTACGCCACGATTTTCTCTTCTGTTTCATTCGAATCCAATCCAATCCAATCTGAAACAAATGTCTAACATCAAAACAGGTTATCGAACCGGTGCTAAAAGTACACCGCGCCTACAGATACATCTCGAAGACGCCGCAATGCGATCGCTATGTGCTCTGCCAGCTGAATGCAGCCGCTCTTGACCAGCAGCAGAAGCAGAAATCCCAGCAACAGCAGCAACAGCAGCAGCAGCAGAACCAGCAGCAGTCCAAGAAGCAGGAGGCGACGACAGCGTCTGGTCTGATTGCCGGAGTTAGTCCGAAAATCGTCAAGATCGGCAGCATGGGTGCAGCCATCTTCATTAGCACGGAAACCGGTACACCGTTCTGGACGCTATTCGGTGTAATCAATGCGCCATATAATTGCGAGGTGAGTCCCTCCCCCCGTTCCCGACCCACATCTTCCCCTCCTCTAACTCTTTCTATCCGTTATTTCTGCGAATGTGCAGGCCAAATATCCAGTCGACTGCAATGGCTTCCATGAGGGCGAGGCCAAGGTGACCACGGAGTACATACACAATGAGTTGTAGTTTGCCCCCAGGAGGATGCCGCCAGTGTCCAAGTGGCGAGAATGCTCATTAAGACGTCGATTTAGCTGTAATTGAGATCAAGATTTCGTGTGTATATAGTATTACGGATTGAAATACATTTAAACTTAAACCATATACGAGTACGTGTACACAAACACGGTTGATCATTTATCATTGTCGGATGATCGTTAATTTTGGAGTCAACGAACCGAAAGAGAAAAGCTTTTCTTCCCATATACAACTGCAGCAATGTGTGGTTTGTTTTCCCAGCCAGTTTAGTTAGTGTGAAGCTTTTCTTAGCCAAAACCAGTTCATCTGTGGAAAACACTGCTGCAGTCGGTGGTGGGGTGGCCTTTTCCACACATTTCAGTTTCACCCAGCCCCAGCCCCAGCTCACACTCATTTGCACTTGCACTTGCCACTCTTGGCTTGCTGGCCTCAGTGTGCTGTTCGTCTGTTTGGTGTCGACGGGTGCTGGTAAAGAGATTCCATCCAAGTACTGTGCCATGCAGCTGGTATATCGCGAACTCGATGCGGACATTGTCCGGCGCACCAATGCGGTGTTTCCGGCCCAGAACTGCTTTGTGGAGGTGCTGCCCGATCAGTTAATCATTCCCAGGAAATATGTCGAGTTGGGCGAATCGATACGCTCGCTGCCCGTGTACGAGGATGATGTGTGGATGATATCCTATCCCCGCACGGGGTCCACCTGGGCCCAGGAGATGGTCTGGCTGCTGGGCCACGAATTGGACTATGTGGCCGCTGAACAGGACATACGGATGCGGTCTCCACTCGTTGAGCTATCGGCGCTGTTCAGCACAGATCATCATGAGATGGTGGCGTAAGTATAATCCCCTGCACTGGGTCCCCGTCCCCACGATGAACCTGAATACTTTCTCCATTCGGCAGTCGGGCTTTTGGCAACACCGTGGAGCTGGTTCGCAATTTGCCACGGCCCCGCTTCGCCCGTTCGCACCTATCCTGGCAGCTGCTACCCGAACAGTTCGACCAGGTGAAGCCCAGGATAGTGTACACGGCTAGGAACCCGAAGGACCTCTGTGTGTCCTACTACCACTACTGCAAACTGTTGCACGGCATCAGTGGGGATTTTGAACAGTTTGTGGAGCTGTTTCTGGGCGGCCACACGCCCATGGGCTCCTACTGGAAGCATGTGCTGCCCTTTTGGAAGCGCAGCAACGATGATAATGTTCTGTTCATCAAATACGAGGACATGATTACCGATCTTCCCGCTGTGGTGCGGCGCTGTGGCCGCTTCCTGAATGCCACACACCTGCTGAACGAGACCAGCATGAAGCGCATCTGCGAGCATCTCACGTTCGACAAAATGCGCCAAAACAAGGCGGTAAATCTGGAAAAGATGCTGCCCGCGTCCTCGACCAAATTCATTCGCAACGGGAAAATTGGCGACTGGCGCAATCATATGAGTGAGGAGATGTCCGAGCGTTTTGATACCTGGAGCGAGCAGCATGTGCGTGGTTCTGGCTTAAGATTTGACTATGATTAAGAAGTGCACACAATATTGTTATATTAAATAATCTAATCGGTCGTTATCAATTTGAAATTTTGCTTTTTTTCTTGAACTGCCAGTGTTGGTAGGTGACTACCCGATTAGCCCATTGTCGACCAGCTGGTATTTCAGAGGCTACATAGTGGGTTAAGTCATCACACTGGATGTAAAAACAAAGCAAATTTGTATTTCTTGGCTTTAGCATGACTTGGGACACAACTGAGGCCTTAGCGGCCCACATGTGTGATGTGGTTCAGTTTTACATGCTCCCAGAGCTGAAGGAAGATCTGGACAGCGTTCAGCTGACGCCGTCGCAATTTGAAAGTTATCACGCCTTGCTCACCCACGAATTGCCGAAGTTCTATGATTTGGTGCAGGAGTTTCTTCAGAAAACCAATAATGCTGGACACGAAGAGGTGAGGTGGGTCTGCTCGCAGTTTATTCCATAAGTTACAGTCTGTTTCATTTCAGCTGAGGGTTCAAATTGTGATGCTCCTCTGCGAGCTGACAGCTGCACCCACTGTTTACCAACATAAAGATGGGTCTGGGAACTTGCTGCGAAATGCCAAACAATTGGGAAGGAAACTCTCGGAGACCTGGGGGGAATCTATGGACACGCTTATGCTCAAAAACTACGAGAAAAAGCTGCACAAGGACTGCTGGAAGCGACAGCTTGGCGCCGTGCATGGCTTTGCCAGATATCTAGAGGTAATAGCCGGCAAAGTACTCAGTCAATTAATTCACAATGTTGGTTTTATTATTGCAGCTTCGTTATACGAAGGACGAGAAAATGACCACGCAGATGCTGGCCTTCAGCCTGTCGGTGGGCCTCAATGTGCGGGAGTGCTACGACTTTGTCTATAAGCAACTCGGTGTGCAGATCTTTTCAATAATGCTGAAGCATGGCGTACGCATGATGCTTGGCCTCCCAGAGCCTTCTGTCATTAATTGTTTCCCTTGCAGCACCATAAGGACATTCAGGAGTTGAATATCCACAGCGTGATCTATGATCATGCGCTCAGGGATGCCTACAACATGGACTCGGTTGAAGCAACGACCGCCATATGGAGTTGTCTGTACCTTTGCCTGGATCACTTTGTTGACCTGGATGCCTTTACGGTTGGTGAACTGCGTCCTCACAAAAAAGTTTAATATTCTAAAATAAATATGTGCCCACAGTGGAACCAGTGCGATGATATGCTGGAACGGCTCCTTCAAAATGTGACAATGTCGTCCAAAGCAAACAACTCCATTTGCCTGCTTCAGTATATAACACAAGTTGGCTACTACTTCACCATCAATCGTGGCGAGATCGAAGCTGCCCTGGCGACAGATCTCACACAAGCGGATCAACTGGCGGCCTGCCAGGAAGTTTGCTCCTCGATCAACTCCAGCACCAGTTATCGTTGGGCCAAGAGCATTTTGCAAATGCTCGTCTTGGAGTCGGATAAACTGCTGCAAGGCCCTGAGGTTTGCGCAGAGCTGCTCGGCCAGATGCAGCGCTGCTATATGGTCTGCATTCTGCCCATTCCGCTTCAGGCTCTGCATATTCATTTGCCTGAATTCTACACCAAATTCGTGGCTGTGCTCCTAGAGTGCATGGTGACCCATAAGACGGCACCAACAGTTCAGAAGGTGAGCTTGATCCTTATACTTGCAAGAGGACAACGAAATGACATATTCCCTTCACGCAGCTGGTGCAGCGCTTTACAGAAATATTCAGCTATCAGCTTAACAACTGCTCCCTCCATCAGCTACCTAGCGACCTGGAGGAGTTTTTACAGGCATTGAAGTCCATACAAAGAACTATTTCTAAATAAAAACGGAAATTTAATTGATGAAATAATCGGCAATTAGAGGATAAGTGAGTGTGGCTATGAACGCATGTGGCAAGAGCGCGATCAGAGCTGGCCGCAGACCCAGGAAGAATCCTCTGTAGCCGTGCATCTGGATGATTTTGAGGCAGAGATGCGTCTTCGAGGGGAACTTCTGGAAGCAAGCATTCATGATCACCGTCGTTACCGCTTCCACTGGCGTCAGGAATAACGATATGATGCTGCTCGTTAACGTCAATGACATCAGATCAATGACCCAATCTTCATCACGAATGTGGTGGAGTTTCAACAGAATATCCTCTACCTTTTGTGGGGGGAGCCGCATTCAATTAAAAGTTGCCATGGTCAACTGACAGTTCTTAGATTTACCCATTCGTGTACAGGTGCGTGAAGCATTCCCATTGCTCCGGCGGTGAAAGCGTGAAGCTCGCATCCAGTGAATAGGAAGGCCGTGCCCCCCTTTCCATGCATGCACTTGAGAGCTTTCCAGGGGTCTTTATAGCTGCAATAAGAGTAACTTTAAAAGAGCAGCTCCCTGGGGGCGATGGGGAGATGCGTTTACTTGCGTTGAAGATAGGGACGACGGGTTAGATCGGCCTGCCGTACTATCGCCACCTTGGCAAATGGCGTTGAGAGCAGACCGCCGCCAAATCCGCTTATACCCGCCACCGTGGAGGTGTCGTATGGCTCCAGCATCAGCAAGTACGGGTTCTCCTTCAGCCAGTGGTACAATGCGTACGTAGTTCCGGTCTGCACCGTACATCGCAACAGTGCACCACCAATGCCGTAGTAGAAGCCCGCAATCCTCTTCTGCCTGAACATTAGACGGACCACTTCCGACATCGAGACATAGTGCAGCACATTGGCCTGGATATTCACTCTGATTATGTCTATGGGATGTGATAGCACAATGGCAGCCACATTGATCATGTACCCCACATAAACGGGCAAATTGGCAATGCGCTGGAGTGTTGTGCCACCACTGTCATTGCTTTTCATATTGGAAATTTGTATTGTATTGTATTTATTGTGTATTGTGTTAATTAAAGGCTAAAACGGAAAACGGAATAAACGAATACTACTCGCACTCTGCTCTCAGTTTGACAATCTCTAGCTGGGTTTTCTTCGCCTCCAGCATGGTCACGGTGCGCTTCAGCTCAGCGATCTCGTTCATTTTGTTAAAATACGCAGATTTTGTCTCGAGATACTCGGTCTCCGCCTTGATCAGTTCCTTCTGCAAGCGACTGGAATCCGCGTGTGGGGCCGCAAGTGTGTCCATGTTACTCAGGTACCCCTCCAGGCCGGTACCAGCAGTCCGCGCGTCATCCTCCTCCAGCAATTTGTCCAAAATATGTGATGGAAATTCCGGTTCAACTTTCGGCGTTATTTCCTGTTCCTCTTTGTTTTTGTTTTTGAACTGCGAGTGGAAGATGCAAGCATAAGAAACTGACTGCCACTTTGGACAAGCGTCCACGTACCTCATCGGTCAAGTCCTCCTTGAATTTGATGCATGATTTTCTGTGGAGAAACAAAAGGAATGTTTATATTTGCAGACTGTACTCAAAAGACCGATCGCATATAGATATCTATACATACAATGCATATGATACTGACCTATGGATGATGAGCCTGTCGATGCTAGTGTTGGCTTGGCCCTTATGGCAGTGCAGGCAGAGTGCGCGTAGCTTCCTGGTGTTGGCGTCGGGAATGGGAGTGAAGCCCAGGCGCTTCCATGTAGATGCTTTGGAGCTACCGCGTATACGTGCTATTTTCATGGCTAATTACTAGACGTGTCAAACCATCGAGGGCACTATCGATAGTATCGATATTTTACTGCTAGTCTCTACTATCGACGGTTTTGCGACTATCATGATATTATCGAGCTACAGTCGTTGCGCTTTTGATATGTTTGGATTGGCTGCTGTAAAATACGCAGACAAATTTGTAAACAAATCGACAGGTGGCATCTAATTTTTACAATGGACAAGTTCCTAAAAGGTTTCAATGGTTTTTTAATAATTATTAGAGCTATCACGATAGTATCGATTGTTTTTTTAAAACATTCGACGTTGATATTCCTCGATATTGATATTCCGTTTAATATTACCAGCTAGCTGGGACTCTCAGCCCTAAACAAATAATTCTATCCGATAGATACATACATTTTTTAAGAGATTGGCAAGTTTTCAGAAGTCCTTTTTATTGGATTACTTACATATTAAGGTTCAAACAAAAACAGCATAAAACGAATTTGTCGTCGTTTTGTGGCGCTGCCAGACTCGTGCAATTCGTAGTTGCTGCGGGCTGCCATACCGTGATATTTTGTGATATGAAATTCGTCAATTTTGATATTCAGTTTAATATTACTAGATAGTTGGCCCTCTCAGCTGTAAACAAATAATTTTATCCGATAGATACATAAATTTCCTTCAGGATTGGTTAGTTTTTAGAACTCTTTTTCATTGGATTGTTTACATATTAAGGTTCAAACAAAACCGGCCAAAGCATAAAACGTAAATGTTGACTAAATGTGACGTCATTGTTGCTGGTCAACCATGTATCTTCTATGCGTATGTACTTTTGTATACCTTATTTCATTCAATGGGTGTGAAAAGTTTTGTTCCAAGCTCCAGTGAAACATTATTTATGATTTTATCCTAGATTGACATATTTTTTACCTCTTAATGTATATGTTTTGTGTTTTATAAATACATTTATCCCGGTTCTGATACCTATTATTGGAACCCGTGAGCTGCCAAATTTCGTTAATATCTTGAAAACAGAGACTGAGTAGTTTCTGCATTAATTGGAGCCTGAAATTACAAACAATACCTCAAGTCCATAATATCCATTTTCCCAAGGTATGCAGATTGTTGCTCATCCCGTGCCAAAGTTGCACAGCAATGCTGCCTCTTCATTTCCACATGTTGCTGGATTTTTTTCCATACAAATCAAATGTATCATACGGGAACGCGTATGGAATGACGCAACAATGAATCTTTATTCGATACGCGTTCCCGTAAGATACATTTGATTTTGTATGGGAAATTGAGTTTGGCGGTCAATTTGAAATGTGTCTTAATATTTGGAAAAATAAATATTTCACTTGATTTGTTTTTTCGCGTGACCTCAGAAACCTCAGAAACCGAGAACCAGTAACCAGTAAATAACAAAAAAAAAATTAATAATTAATAATTTTTTTAATTACGAGTTTTTGACACAGGTACAGTATATGCAGTATATACAGTATATATACAGCATACATCGCCGACGCCAGTGTTGTAAGGTTCCGCGGACGCTTCTACACGCTGGAGCTGGCCTATGTCGAATCCATGTCGCGTTAGTACCTAACTACATGGTGCCATTTTGCTTGGAGGCAGTTCAGTTCGTATAACAATGCCACGAAAAAAGTCTGAAGTTTTTTATAAGGAGCACGGTTTTACCGCAAAGTGTGTAAATGGAAAATACACTGCCACCTGCATTTTCTGCAACAAGGAACTGCGGAACACAGCGCTAACAAGACTTTCGTTACATAGGTAATTGTACATGCAACATACAAATACAGTACATATGAAGGTATTTGTATGCATTTCGTATATGTATATGTTTACGTACATACCAATGACATGGATGTACGATGTCTTATTTCCCCAGACAAACGTGCGACCAAAAGAGAGACTTATCGGTGACACAATCCTTAATTATGGAATGTGTTCGTCCAGTGCTCAAGGTGCGTAGTTAATTACTGACTAAAGGGAACCGAACCTCAAATGCCCTTCCATTGTAGATCCATAAGATAACGCACGAGGACGCGGATGGCGGCATCGATCATGGGAACGAAGGCAAGGAGATCATTGTGAAGGCAAGTACTGGAAGCTGGAAGACGCGTATACGATCTCGATCTGATCTGCCCCAAACTATGTATAGATACAAGAATTTTTGGACCAGTGCGATGACGATACAGATAGCAAGGACCAGACGACGACCATAATCAAGTCAGAATTGCCTAATGGCCAGCAGGATAGCCCCTACTTGAATGCTTCAAAGGAGGATTATCACACAGATACTATGGAAATTGAAATTACTGCAGGGCCAGAGAGCCGGGAATACGTTGAATTTCTCGACGAATACAAAGAAGTGATGGTAAGAGTGCATTCCATGTCTTATTTGCCATCTGAATTCTATCATGTTTCTTGCAGCAGAGCCTCGACAACTCGGCCAATGGTACGGAAACGAATTATGGGGAGAGCAGGCCGAAAAATAACTTGGCTTCGCTGAAGGCCGACAAGACGAGGGCCGAGATCAAGCAATTCCACAGCAAGACGCAGTTTTTAAAGACAGAAACAGAGAACCTGAAACTGGAAAGGACGCTCGCATTGCTAAGGATACAAAAGCTGCGCCTGGAAATCGACTCTCTGCGCGCTCAAAGCTAGAACTTCATATCTACATGTCTACTAAACATCAACAAAATCAACATAATTTGTACACGCGTATACAAACACATGTAAAGTGGAAAATAAACTCGTAATTTTATTCAAATGTCGGAAAAATACTTGAAACGCGGGCAGGACAGCCTACAGGCGAGGCATTTGGCGAGGATTGTTCGCTCCGCTCAGCCTGAATTTGTTCCTTCTGCTTTTTGCATCATGGTCTTGTTCATGAGCCTGGCCATCCGCAGGAGCTTCACATTGTTAACGTCCAAATAGTCTTGACGTAGATCTTCACATCGTGTTCTTGGGGAACAAAGATCAGGTAGGATTTTTGGCGGGACCAGTAGTTTGCCATTCTTAGAAACCTGTGGCCGTGCTTGCGGTAGTCGCTAGAATGGGATCATGCCCCACATAATGTAATAACATTGGCTAGAACGGTTGCTAAAGATTGTTTTAACCTCATTTATTTTCAGAATTATAATCTAAGTAAATGCAGTGACCTAGTCGTCCAGCTTCTCGGGAGGTGGTCCACAAGGCTGCAGCATGCGCTCCATCAGATTAAACCGCACTCGGGCCTTCGACTCGTTCTCCGCAATAGCGAAATAGTTAAGGATATCGTAGTGTCCCATGTAACTGGCCAGCGAGTCCCGGTGCTGGTTGGTCAGCCACTCGAACTTGGTCGTATCTGCGTGTCCAGTGCCGATGTACTTGCTCTGGAGGTGCTCCAACTGGCTGTGTATATTATAGCGTTCGCCCATTTTTCACTTTTTTTTATCCTGATTTTCAGCAATAACGCGATTTGCGTATGTATTGTTTTGTTTGGAAAAATTGTCGACCAGGGAGGGAGTATACTATTTATATTTGGTTTTTTCATTCGAATATTTTACAGTATTTTACGCTAATCGAATATTTTACATATTCGATTCTGTGAACATTTTGCCAGTTCCAGTTCCAATTCCATACTCCAATAATGTTTTCTTAATTGTAGCAAATGTAGCGTTACCGTGTAGTTACCATGTAAAATTGACATTTTTTAAGAATTTTAAAAACAATCCAACGATAGATCGTCCTTAAAACTAGCCAATCGAAGAGTAAAATTATTCATCAATCGTAAAAAAATATGCGTTCAGTGTCGAGGGTCGTATCAGTAATATTAAAGCGAATATCAAAATCGAGAAATATGATTTCCATTAACCCACTGACCACCAAACTCCTGTTAGCGCACAAAAAAATTTCGATATTATTCGCTCTCAAATCGTGGTGGTTTTTCAAAATTTGCTCTCTTTTCAGAGGTGAAGAGAGCGTTTCCGTAGTGACTTTTCGTGGGGTGAGAAACATGTATCTTACGGGAACGCGTATGGAATGAAGATTCATTGTTGTTCGTTCCCGTAAGATACATTTGATTTGTATGGGAAAAAAATTCAGCAGCATGTGGAAATGAAGAGGCAGCATTGTTGTGCAACTTTGGCACGGGATGAGCAACAATCTGCATACCTTGTGAAAATGGATATTATGGACTTGAGATATTGTTTGTAATTTCAGGCTCCAATTAATGCTGAAACTACTCAGTCTCTGTTTTGAAAGATATTAACGAAATTTTGCAGCTCAAGGGTTCCAATAATAGGTATCAGAACCGGGATAAATGTATATATAAAACACAAACATGTGCATATTAGGTAAAAACATGTCAATCTAGGATAAAATCATTATTAATGTTTCAATGGAGCTTGGAACAATCAATTATAGGTAATAGGGTATACATATGTCCATACGCATAGAAGAAACTTGGTTGACCAGCAACAATGACGTCACATTTAGTCAACATTTACGTTTTATGCTTTGGCCGGTTTTGTTTGAACCTTATTATGTAAACAATCCAATGAAAAGGAGTTCTGAAAACTAGCCAATCTTTTAGGAAATTGATGTATCTATCTGATAAATAATATTTTCAGTTGTTGAGGTTTTAACTAGGTAGTTATATTAAAGCGAATATCAAAATCGAAGAATATGATTTCCGATCATAAACAGAGAACAATTAACCCATTGTTGGCCAAGGGGGTAAATCAATTAGCGCATGAATATTATACAACTTTAACCATTTTAGCGCAGCTCAGGTGCAAGATATCGTATACGTTCTGTTTGTGAGTAAAGAATAAAGATAGGATCTTCAAAAACAATTTTCAAAATGTATTACTTTCCGCGTTTTAACTCAATGTGTTCAACTGTTTAAATATAGCGTGTTAAGTGGGTTAAGTTTATTCTATCGATAAATCCACTGCCCATCACATGACAGCCATAGTTTTCTTTGCAGTCGCGTTCGTCATATGATTGAAAAAAGTCCATCAGAAAACTGAAAATGTTGCAGAATTGCGTGGTGTTCTCGCTGTTTATTGCAGCCAGTAAGTATATTAACTTAACTAGATGGCGTTCTGCCCGTGCACTGCTCTTGGAATGTGAGAAAAGGCCACTTGTTCTCTACACTTTGATTCGAGTTGGGGGTGGTGACTGGCTAATCTTCTTGGGTAAAAGGGTCTCACGAGTGCGTAGCCTGCATGCGCAGAAGCTGTGATAAAGCTCATACACAAAGAAAAAAGAAAATCTTTTATATTGAAACGCCTTTCTTTCGTTTAGTTCATGCTGCGGGTGAGCTGACGGTGCTGAACAGCCCCAAGGCGATCACCTTCAAGGGCAACGATGCGCTGGACAGCCACTATGTGGGCGATGTTCTGTACGCTGCCATGGGCAATGCCGTCGCTGGAGACTCGAACTGGAGCGGCATGACCATCAACGATCCCTTCGAATTGGCCAAGGGCGTGATCTGCGTGCACGTGCAGGGCATCAGCCACGTTATCACTGCTGGCAATGCAAAGTCCTATCAGCTCACCGAATCCAACACGGATGCTTCTCTTAACGCCCTGGCTGCCGAGCTGGAGGCTACCAACGAGCCTGTTTGCGACATCAACTTCGGGCAGTTCGACGAGGGTGTAAGTATAGAGTCAAGCACTGTTGCGTAGAATTTATATAATACGTTGCATCCCAACAGGTGCAAGCCTTCCAGTCGTGCTTCGGTGACATCAAGGCCGCCCCCGCCAAGCCAACGAAGAACCTGAATCCTGCTCTGCACAACGCCGACAAGCAGTTCCTCCAGGAGATCGGCTACCTCGACGTCGCTGCCAAAAATCTGGCCGATATGCAGAAGCCCGCGAATGTGCTGATCCTGCGCGTGTCGGTCGACGGAATTGCCAAGGCCCATGGAGAGAAATCGGTGGCCCTGGACGAGGCCAACAAGTTGCTCTCGGCTTCCATTAGCCGACTGTTGGCCGCTTCCCAGAAGTCCAGCGACTCGGTTCTCTTCGTCCAGACCACCGACAAGGACACCGGTGTTGCCCGCACCAAGCGTGACACCCTGGGTGCCGACTCGACGAACCCCTTCAATCTGGCCACCTACTACAGCAGCGACTATCCAGTCATCTTCAACATCATTCTTTGGTTCATGGTCGTCTTTGCCCTGTCCCTGCTGGCCATTTGCTACGCCATCGCTTCCATGGACCCCGGCAGGGATTCGATCATCTACCGCATGACCTCCACCCGCATCAAGAAGGACAACTAAGCGGAGTGCGCGGAGTGGAGCTTACATTACCTTGTTTGTTATTTCGTCCCTTTTTTTTTGAGTTGCGTGAAGCCAACTTCAACGCCAGTCAAAAAAAACTAGATCAAAATCAGCGGAGAAATTGTGTGTGCGTGTGTGCAATGTCGTTGCAGTAGTTGGCTTTAGCTATAAATAAGTATTACTTGTCATTTTGAAATGCTGTTGCGGATGGGCAACAATTCCATAGTAATTTGTTAAATCTTCCTTGTTTGTTGTACTTTTTAGGTTTATATATGTAACGCGGATAACATACTCGCCAGTCAGGTCAGTCCTCTATCAAACTATTCATCAATATGTAAATTACCAAAATGTATAACGTTAAACAGAAAAGTTAAATATATATAGCCTAAAAAGACAACAGTGGCGGAATTGTTTAAATAATAGAAATTTAAATTTGAAAGCGATTCTTATTGGAATCTTTCCACTTCTACATGTAGATGGCGCCATCCAGTTGGAAAATGTACAAGTCATGTCAAGTGCATGCAAAATGTCAGATTTTTGACATTTATGGCGCGCAATTTGAACATTTTACACTACAGCATTAAGCACACTTTGAATGGTAATAACTTTTATTTATTATAGATATGTATTACCCTAATAAGGAAGATACGTCTACCCCACCTATTAAAATCGATTTGTCGCTGCCAGAACTTAACAATTTAACAGACAATTTCGATGTGGTAAAGCTGGCGACACTGGTCCAGACTTGGTTCTTTGGCAAACTTTTCACATTCGATTCATTTTTGGGTTACGCCCCCCAGTGGTCGTGGCCGTGATCGTACGGCGAACTGCTGCCACCGCTCCAGGTGCAACAGACACCTTCATTTTGCGATGTCGAATTGTCGCGCAGCATGGCTTGCAGGTGATTGATGTAGTTGATGGCAATCCTTTGCGGAGGGGTGTATTCACAATTAATATTGATTCCTGCTCGATCGAAACGAATCGGTACTCACCTTAGGCTCTCGATTTTGGAGTACTTTTTGCCATTGGGCTTGGAGATAGGCAGCTTGGAGCGCAGCAGATCGAAGGCCCTGTTCATGTCGCGCATCCTGGTGCGCTCCCGGTCGCAGGCCGTGCGCCTGTAGTCCTTCTCCATCTGCAGAGCCTTCTCCCGCCAGGCGGGATTGTGCTCCTTTGAGATCTCCACCTCGGTGCTGCTGGCTATGCTGCCGCCACCGTAGGCCATGTACATGGGCGGAGGAACCAGCTCGCTGGGCTTGCTCTCCATATGGCTGGCTAGAGGGGCGGGTAGCTGGCCGGCGTGCCACATCGACACCGGCTGCGGAATGATGCTGTAGGGCGGATGAGCGTGAGCCATCGTGGACTGCATCATGCCCATGCTGGAGGCGTCCTTCTCGTAGCTGCTCATCAGGGTGGGCGTATAGCTGAGGCAGCCATGCGGCGGCTGCTGCGCGGCATAGCCCAGCATTCCGCCTCCATCGGAGGACAGCGTGTAATTGAGGCTGACGGGTATGTGGATGTGGCCCGACTGTGGGGCTCCGAGCTCCAGCAGCACCGGCTGCTCCACTGGCTCGACATCCCCACCCTCCGATGCGCCGTTGAGGTAGGACCCGGGCGTTGAGACGGGTAAAGCCACCAGGGCAGGTGGCGGTGGCTGGCCGGAGGCTGCACTCAGCAGTTGATCAGTCATCGCCTAAGCCGATTTCGACGTCCGCTGGCGGCAATGAACGCAATCGCTCTGGCGCTGGCTCTGGAATTTCTTTCCTCTGGTTGGCTGTCGCTTGTGACGCTCGACAGCTCGGTGGCGCGGTGCAGTAGGCTTACCTGACGGCGGACACTATTTTTAGTGCATTAGAAGTTTTCCAGTTGACGCGGGGGAATCTAGTTTTCCGTGATGAATGCCTCACCATCGAGGCCCGACTGCATCCGAGACGTGTGACTATTCATCCTGCGATCCAGTGGTCACGGCCCTTACAGCAGCACCCAGCATCATCGACTTAGATGATGAAGAGCTCTTTTGTACGTGTGTCAATATCGATCGATCGCAAGACAATGGCCAGTCGTCGAGTGCAACTTGTCGTCGAGGATCGTTGTCCGATCGTATACCTGCTGGCGGGGGTGGGGGGGTAGGTCCAACAAAGCCGCTTAATTTCCTTGCTATTGTGACCAGGGGAAGAGCGATCGATGCCGAGGCGCGTGTGCCAAGCTGAAGTTGCGTTTGTCGTCTGTGTGGCTTGGATCGTCGCCACAACTTCAGTTTGAGTTTTTCTTTGATCGCTATATACTCCCCGTACGAACACCGACTCCTCCCCCTACCCCTCCCACAGGTATGTGGCTATAGGTATACTCCCCCGTGTATTTGTATTTTCGTCGCATGTAAACACAAGTGTTTTGACTTAATTGAAAAAAATACATATCCATATCGCATATCCCATATCCATAGCCAGAGGCATTAATATACACCTCTATATATGTATATCCCCTAGTTTTGGCTGGGCTGATCTCAAATGTTCTTCCAATAGCCAATTTCAAACTAATCCATAAAATTACAGTGAAGCCCAAGCCAATGACCTTGTGCGCAATCTCATCTATGACACATTTGATATACGAAATATATTCTACAGATCTTCCATGAGCAATGGGTCTATGATTTTGGGCATGTGTAGATTTCTCTGTGTTCCCTGTATTCTATTGCCCTTCACTGGAGCGACCACTGTACGCGTTGCTACCGAGAAACCCAATTCATTAGCCAGATCTCGTATTACCTCTCGACCATCCACACACACTCCACACAAACAAGAAATTACTTACATTTTTGCACAGCCGAAAGTTATTTTAGCTGCATTGCCAGCGAGAGAGAGAGTGTTGCCGGGAATCGGAAATAAATATGCGTCCAGTTCTCCTAATTACTAGCGAGAATCGCATCTGTCTGGCGGTGTCGAGTGGCCAGCAAGGCTTAAACCGCCCCCGAAAGTGGGTTACATTCGTAATTCGAAGCTTACTGAAGTTTATTGTTTGCTGCAGTGTGTAAAAAAGTTGAAATAAATAGGCGAGTGTACAATATTAAGTGGGCAACACGAGCTCGGAGCCGTGGCATAGATCAATTCATTGCAATTATGTACATAGGAGTGGGGGGATCGGGTCGGTTCGGATAGGATCGGCCGACAGCGAGCGCGCTGCTCAGGTTCCATGTTAACTAATTTGTGACAAGCCAAGCACCAGACCGTCGCGAGCGTCAACTAAACTCTTGGGAAGTTTCTAGCTACCAAATTGTAGGGGCCGCAGCTCAAAGTATTTGTCCAGCACCTCCTCGGTGATCAGCTTGCGCGCCGCCTGATGCTGCTCCACAATGGGTGTGAGGGTCTACGGAGTGGAACATTAGCCAAAGGTTATATCAACATTCGAGTCGCTACTCACCTCCACGGCCAGCTTCTTAATCTCTCCCGTCAGCATCTCGCCCTTCCTGTAGGCCACGCGCACCTCCTCCAGCTTGGCATCGTCCTCGAGGAAGAACTTTAGAAGCTGGTAGGACACATCTATATCTGGCACGCCGCCCAGTTGTCGGTGCTCCTCCACCGTTGTGCGTCCACCGGAAAAGGCATACTTGTTGATCTTGTTCTTGATCTGCTTGGGCGTGTCGGTCAGGAACACAGCAGAGTTCTGGTCGCTGGCCGACATCTTCGTCTTGGCTCCCTGCAGGGCCGGAAAGAAGGTGGAGTGGATGAGCGCACACTTGGGGAAGCCCAGGCGTGGCGCCACGTCACGCGTCATGCGGAAGTAGGGGTCCTGATCGATGGCGCATGGTATGAGGCAGTGGACCTTCTTGTTGCCAAAGATGAAGGGGAAAGTGCTGGAGATCGCAGGCGCTGCCTGGGCGGCGGGGAAGCCGATCTTGCCAATGATATCCGAGTCACCAAAGCCGAAGATACCCTTCACCTGGTTAAAGGTGACGCACTTTTGGATCCGAATGATGTTCTGGTACATGGCAGGACACTTTCTGCGAGGACATAAATGATTAGTAAACGAACTGGAATCAACCATGCTTTGTGGGCTTTTTTGTACCCCATAAACTCCAGATTGTTGAATATAAAGGTTTTGTTGACATCAAAGCCCATGGCCACAATATCCTTGGCATTCTCTCGGGCCAGCTTGATGGCATCCTCCACCTTCAGGTCCTTCCACAAGGTCTTCTCGTCGTCCGTCAGCTGGATGACCAGCGGCACATCGAATGTCTCCTGCAGCCACTTGGTCATCATGAAGGGAATCAGGTGGCCCACGTGCAGGGATCCCGAGCTGGGGCCGCGACCCGTGTACAAATAGAAGGTCTTGCCCTGCTCTTTCAACGTGAGAATGGTGTGCAGGTCGCGGTGCGAGAAGAACATGCCGCGCCTAATCAGATGGTGTGCTGGCTTCCCCGTGATTTTCTCGAACCGCGCGATAAGCTCATCATCGATTTTGCTGGAGCCAAAACGTTCTGCAACGTGTCAGTTACCAATATCGTTAAGGAAGCTCAAGATTCGAGTGTATTGAGTGGATGATTCAATGGCACTTACTTATTAGCTTATCGTAGTCCACACCCGTGTCGTTGCTGCTCGCCACGTTCCACGGATCCACCACATCTTCAACCGCCGCCGCTGTTGCTGCTCCTCCTTCTTGGGCCTGTGCATCGGTGCCCGTTTCCACGGGCTCGGCGTCGGCCTTGCCATTTAATGTCAGCGCCTCGACGCCCTCAACAACCGTCTCCTTGGTGTCTGCCATTGGATTGGGGGTTCAGTCTGCACTGTTTTAGGCAATAAACAATATAAATAAGTAATACTGGCGAAATTCTCCTTTCACATGTGGGACTTGTCGATAACATACATATATACCGATATACCATACATCATGATTGAGTGATCGAACTTAATCCGCTAAGCCCCCCTATATTGAAACAGTGCAAATCCTTCAATTAAGCCGTGGAAAATAATACTGGTCCTTGTAGATCTCCTTACTTAAAAAAAATATTATTATCTTTCAACTAAATTTAACCAAAATTCTTCTAGTTTCTTAATTTTCGTGGAACTTTCAAATACCTCCCTGGTCGACAATGGGCTAACATTGTTTTTTGTTGATCGGAAATCGTATTCCTTGATTTTGATATTCGGTTTAATATTGCTAGCTAGCTTGGACTCTCAGCACTGAACATATAATTTTATCCAATTCATGAATCAATTTTCTACAAGATTGGTTAGATTTCAGAACCCCTTTGTTGGATTGCTTATAAAATGAGCTTAAAACAAAATAGGTCAAAACAAAATAAAAGCATAGGATTTGAGCAATCGAAAAATGCTATCGACAAAAAAAACAAGCCGGCGCCGGCTGCATTTTGTAAACAAACAAAAGTTTTAGCTAATATCATGGCCAGCGGATCTCGTGTTACGATTCTGCCGCAGTCGAAGGAGGCGCTCCTCAAATCTTACAATGCGCGCCTCAAGGAGGATGTCCGCAGCATGCTGGAGAACTTCGAGGAGACTCTGAAACTGGCACGTAGGGACAGTCACAGTCAAATATCACGAACGACGCAATCGGAGCAGGATGCCCTGGAAATGCAGATACGCGCCTCCAATATGGTGCGGGCCGGAGAGTCCTTGATGAAGCTTGTCGCCGATCTCAAGCAGTATCTGATTCTGAACGACTTCCATTCGGTGAACGAGGCCATCACAAACAACTCCCAACTGTTCCGATCAACGCAGATCGAGTGCGACAAAAAACTTATGAAGCTAAGGGACGAAATGGCAATGGATCTGTACGACCTGGAAGAGGAGTACTACACGAGCATATTCAAATAGACGCCCTTGCAGCCCCAGTATAAGATTTTGTAAAACAAATAAGATTGTAAGACTTAAGTGTTGCCAACTAGCTGTTTTTCTTGGCAAACATGCAAAATATAGCCAACTTTTCGTAACGACAATGCTTTTATTTATTGCTTAAATTTCCAGAAATAACAAAATATATATGATAGCCTGCTAATTACCTAATTATCTACCAATATCAGGTAAAACAAGCTATATAATAGCTAAATTGGCAACACTACTATCAACCGTTTATTGTGCGCATGTCAAACGAGAAATTATTGGCAACGCCGCTACACACGTGTGAGTATACACAGCTGTTTGACCAAGAGCATAGAAAAGGGTAAATTGTTTTATTGAAAAACACTTGAGCAAAATGTCGTCGGCCAGCAAGCGTAAGAATCTGAATAAGATGGAGGTAGATGAAAAGGATGACGAGTCGAGCTCCAGTGACGAGGATTTAGACGGAATAAATCCAGACGCCTACACTGGCAACGAGGTGCGTCCCGGACCCAAACAAATCAAATGAACCTTTAATTTACTGTGCAATATATTTTTTAGGAGGTGCAAATTGATTTCGAGGGTCGTACACCCGTGGATCCCGATACCCAGGGAATCTCTCAGCTGTTGCAGCGTCTCTTCCTGCGGGCCCACATCAACTGCAATCAGATGGCGGATTTGATTATAGGTGAGAGTGACCGGCACACAGTCCATTACTTAGTCGATTCTAATTGCTCTCTTCCAGCTCAAAACAATGTGGGCAGTGTAATCTGCCAGGTCGACGATGACGAAATTGAGAGCGAAACGGATGACATGGTGGAAGAGGGCACTGTCTTTGGCATCACTTCCGTGCTGAATCTGTCGGCCAAGAAGGACCAGCCAAGCGTCAGTCAGCTGCGCACGTATTTGCTTGACCGCGCCAAGTCTCATGCCCCGGAGCCAGTTCTGGAGCAGCTGAGCAATCTGCTGGACATCGAAGAACCGCCCCATTTGGGTTTCCTGATCAACGAACGCTTCATCAACATACCCGCACAGATCTGCGTGCCGCTGTTCGAGAATCTGAAGATGGAAATTGACTTTGCCAAGACCAAAAAAATGAAATTCAATTTCGGAATATTGCTGCTCCTCGTCAAGTTCTATCGCAAGGAGGCCAAGAAAGGCCAGCCTGCCGAGGACAATTACACCAATGCCGAAGACGAGCTGCTCTCGGAGCGGGCCAAGTTCTCCTTTGAGTGGTCTGTGGCCTCCGAATGCGATTCCGGCATGGCCGGAAACTGGCTGGAGGGCGATGCAGTGATGACGCCATACAGAAAGCTTTTGGCACTGGATGCCAAGCAGTTCCCGCAGTTGATTAAGGACATAAAAGGCTACATAAATAATGAATAAATGTAGAATTTATAATGTTAAACGTTGTGTTTCCATAGGCAAGTCCTGCAAGTCAGTCACAAAGGTGCTGTTACTGTACTTTGTTACCAAAAGCAGACTCCACTCCTGTTCAAATTCAATGTGGCTGGCAACGCCGGCTAACAGCTGACACCCGGTATTTGAAAGCTTTCCCATGCCGGTTTAGCTTGATTTTTTCGCACAAAAAAAATCTGCACCAACCGTGAACGTGACTGGCAAGTAGAAACTGAACTGGCAAGCGACTTCCGACGTGAGTAGACTCTGCTTTTATTGTTGTAGCCTTTACACATATATCCGAGTTCTAGTATTACATTGTGATCATTGAAAACATTATTCATAGCTCGTGCAAATTTCTTTGTGCCCTCGTGCACACACTCATCCCCATCCGTCCCTCCACATATGAAAGTATAAAAAGCTTCGTGCCGGCCACCCAAGCACAGCATTGCCAATTGTTTGTTCCATCGTCAAGGGATCGTTTTTTGTCGGGGCGGCTCTATAAAAAGTTATCTCAATCGTGGAAGTGTTTGACACGCGCCTTATCGCTCAGTTTCAGATACGTTCCCGCACCCGCAGCCGCAGCCGCAGCCGGATCCCACTTCCAGTTTCAGTTCCAGTACCCCGTTGCATTGTGTTACTCCCCAACTGTTGTTGGTTGCTGCCGGCGCTCAGTGACGCCCCACTTGCCGATTGATTCAGTTGTGTGTGTTCCCGTTAAAGTCAAATATGGGCATCGAAAAGTAAGTACAATTATTTGTGGATTATTTGGTGTCTAAAAAGCTCCAACCTGTGTGTGATGATCCGACATCTTTTGTAATTTGGGCCATTATGTAGTTGTGTATTAGGATATTTAGTCCAAGTGCTTCGAATGTACAGAAAAATCTATAGTACATCATCCATACATTTACCAATCAATAAGATTCATTTATTAATATTCATTATCTGCAAGGGTATTAAAAACTTCCACCACAAAGCTTCCCCTTTTTCTTGTTTATGAGTGGGGTCATTCCAAAAGCTTATCTTTAATATGTACTTTATTGCACTTCAAAACTTAAGATTATCTCAGCGCCAAGCAGAGCGATGAAAATATAACAGCCATGGGCGTGCACAGTCATATTTCCCCCGTCAAGGGGCTCTCAATTGCTGAACAATAAACAACTGGCGCGTGATAAAATTGCATTTCAATGAATGTCGATTGAAATATTTCTCAATTTATAATAATAATAACTCGTACTGATAATTCCATTTCGCACTTTGTCCTCACAGATTTGTACCATGCACCCTGAGGCTGAATAAGCTGATGAAAGGAAGTGGCACCGATTGCCTTTGTGTGATTGACCAGGCTGCCCTACCAACAGAACTGAAGGCCACCTTCGAGGAGCATCGCTCGTTTGACAAGTCATTCGACAGCAGCATCTCCTGCTTCCGTGCTGCCAATGTGGAACAGCCTGTGGTCTACGCACCCGTGGGAGATCTGAATGACTACGATGATGTCCGTTCCTATCAGGAGGCTGCCAAGAAGTCCATGCAGAAGGTCCTCAAGGTAAGTGGTTCTTAAAATCCAAGTGTAATCATTTACTACGATATCTTCTCACAGGCTGGCTTCAACACTCCGCTGCTGTTTGTGCCCAAGGTGGAGCGCTTTCCCCAGGCAGAGCTGTGCACCGTGCTCGGCGCCCTGGAGCAGTTGTATGTTGTAAGAATCATTCAACTCCAATGCATGATCAGGCGCTACAAGATTATTCCCTCTGCTCTCTCAGCCCATTCATTTACGCGAGGCCCAACCCGGTACGGACGGCCGTGTGACCACTCTCAGTGTGCAGATTGATGATCCCAAGGCGGACGATATTCTGCGCGAGGCTCTGATATTGGAAGCCGGTCGCTACGTGGCCCGCGACATCGGTGGTGGCGATCCAGAGAGGATGGCCCCCAGCCAGGTGGAGAAGTACGTCAAGAATCTGTTTGACAAGCTCAACATGAATGTGATCAGCGATTCGAATACGCTGCTGAAGGACTATCCCCTGTTCGCAGCTGTCAATCGGGCTGCCGATGTGGTGGAGCGTCACAGAGGTCGCATCATCTTCCTGGAGTACAAGCCCCCCAAGCCTGCCCGCAAGACGCTCATGCTGGTTGGCAAGGGCGTGACCTATGACACTGGCGGTGCCGACATCAAGGCCGGCGGCGTAATGGCTGGCATGTCGCGTGACAAGTGCGGCGCTGCTGCCGTCGCTGGATTCATGAAGGTGGTTAACGAGATAAAGCCGGAGGATGTCCATGTCGTTGCCGCCCTGTGCATGGTCCGCAACTCCGTGGGAGAGGAGTGCTACGTGGCCGATGAGATCATCACCTCCCGGGCCGGTCTGCTCGTTCGCATTGGCAACACCGATGCCGAGGGACGAATGTGCATGACGGATGCCCTCTGCCGCATGAAGGAGATGGCCGTCGAGAAGAGTCTGCCCGATCCGCATCTCTTCACGATCGCCACGCTGACGGGTCACGCGTTTATCTCGGCCGGCGAGGGTCAGTCGATCGCCATAGACAACAGTGTGGCCCACGAGGCGGGTCACGCCCGTAAGCTTCAGGCAGCTGGCCAGACCTATGGCGAGCCCTTCGAGGTCTCAGTGCTGCGTCCCAGCGACTTTGCCTTTAATGCTGGCAAGGTCATCGGAGAGGATCTGGTGCAGGCCAACAATGCCCCGTCGGTGCGTACGCCACGCGGACACCAGGTGCCCGCCGCATTTATGATTATGGCCTCCGGGCTCGATAAACACGGCCTCAAATCCAAGGTGCCGCTCAAGTATACACACATTGATATTGCCGGCAGTGCCGGTGAATACCCAGCCATGCCCACTGCCGCTCCACTTGTCTCCCTGGTGAAGACTCACCTGTTAGGCTAGCTACCAGTTGCATAGTTGATATTACCACCCAAGCCCCGTACTTACATGCAAACATATATATTCGTATCGATCTATCCAACAATATTACCCCCCTCTGTCCACTAACAGCATCACTTGTAACTTTTAAATAAATGCAAATTGCCAGTATGAAGAACTGAAAGAAAACACTCGAACAGATGAAATGGGAAAATACAGGGAATTTGGGTACATTTTTAGGAGAGCTTGACGCAATTAATGGGGAGAAAACAGTGTGTTTATATACACAGGAACACAGAATAAGTTTTAAGGCTTATTTATAGACAAATATATCTGTCTAAATCGCACCTATACATACGCGTAACATTGCCAAAAAGCTAACTAGACTTGCCTTCCATTTATTATAGCAAGCAGTGCACTGCTTGCACTCCACTGCAGTGGAGGAAGAAGATGGAATTTGATGGAAGAAATGCATGTTCAATGGCTATAATTCCCATAATTTCCACCTACTAATCGGCATTCTTGATCTCGTATGTTAAGAACAAAAGCCCCACTCTACTTCTACTCTATTTTGTGATTATTATTTTACTTTGTTGCAGAATTGTTTGCATAATTGGCTAGCGCCCTGCATCTCGAGCTCTTTCTCTGCCCTGCACTCCTCAATGTACTCCTCTTCTCTCCTATTTCTTTTCCTTCTTTTTTTTTCTCTTGGCCAAAGCCTAGAACCCGTTAGTCGCTACTCTGCTCTGTGTGCCGTTCTTTGCGCTCGTGCTTGAGCTTGGGACTGGGACTGCGACTGGGACTGGTGCTGGGACTCTGGGCTGTAGCGCAGCTCTGTCTCTGGTGGCTGCCTTCCCCTTGTTGGGGCCACTTGTCAGCTGTCGCATGTGTCGTGGTACCGTTATTGCCTGGCTTTGGAAACTCGGTCAAGAGTGTCTCATTCATGCTGTGATTGCATAATGTACCGTTGCCTCTTTCTTGGCCACCTTCTTCCTCTCGCATTCTGTTCTCGGCTCCACGTCCTCCACTCCGGCCTGCTCGTCGGCCGCTCTTGGTTAGGTGCGCTTCTAGGTAATTTATTGACACAAGCCTCCACATTTGACAGTGCCACGGCCAGCAGACAGCGACCAGCGGACGCGGACTGGTTGCATTTGGCCATGCCGGGACTCGGCTCTGTTGCTGTCGCTGACTCCGGCTAACTGTATTTATTATTGATGAACGTAAGGCTTTTCTTCTGCTCTTTTTTTTGTTCGAGTATTCTTACCCGTTTCGCCCCGTTAGCGTGAATTTATTGGTAAGGCGGCACAGTCCAAACTGAAAAAAATCGAAAAAAGGCCAACTAACGGGAACGAGAGCCAAGGCATGACCTGATTATGGCAGGACCTGTTGTACTCTCTACAGAAGCTGTCGTTATTAAGGCTTTCTGTTGGAGCTGGTTTTACACTGCAAATAGATGGCTTGTTGCGTGGAGTTTGAAGTACTCTTTGCAGGTTATAGATGAATCGGAATGGGAATGGGAATGGGTATTTACATTCCAATAAGTAATCCGTAATTTTAATCCTTAGTAGGGATTTGTTACAGATCGTTTGGCCTCCAAATGGGATTTATTATTCTTGGAGTTTTTTTTTTGATTTAAGGAAAGTTATACCAGACTTTAATCCCATCTCCGTTGTATGCCTTTCCATTGCAACTTTTAGTTGCCTTACATCGAACTCAAATTGTGCCCCACAACCCTCTTCTCATCTGCTGCAAAGCCCATCGCATCAGCTGACTTGTCAGCTGCCCCCCAAGTATGACATCAACAGCAACATCATCAACGAGACTGGCAAGGCAACGACTGGGCCCGCAATCCGGTATAGACAATCACCAAAACACCTTGTCAATTGGGCGCTTGTCTTTGGGGGGCAGACGACGCAGTGGCTGCCGCAACTGCCACAGCAACTGGCTCCATGTCGCGCCGTGTGCACAGTTGTTGCCTGATCCATAAATTCGCGAAAACAGCGCAGCAGCTACAAATGAAGAAAACAGCAGTGGCAGAAGAGTTGGGGCAGGCATAGGCAATGGCAACGGCAACGGCGGTGGTGGTGGTGGTGGCGGCGGCGGCATTAATAATAGCAAACAACAGACA